GCAAGTGTGGTGTGGCTGAGGCAGAGCAGGGATGTGCCATGAGCTGAGAGGGTGGAAAGGGGCCAAGAGCAGCAGGTGGAGCATCTCCTCTGAGTGTGCTGTGCTGCTGCCTTGGCTGATCCTCCATATGCATGTGTCTGCACCTGCTGGAAACACAGCACATCTCCCAACATCCTGTGCTTGAGGTGGGACAAAATCTGTCTGCACCAGCCCCTGGGATGATCCCACGGGAAGGGGCTTCTCTGCTCATGTTGTTCAGCTCTGCTCTCTCAGGCTCTTGGTGTGTGTGGTCTTTGTGTTGGTCAGTGCAGGCTGTGGTCACAGCCAGACAAATCCTTGGTGTTTATTCCCTTCATGAAAAAATGTTATATCTTTCTAGCTCAGCTTTTCTTGTTTGCCTCCAGTAAAAACATTGCACCTTCTCTTGTCACTGGAAAAAGCTGTAGGAGGAGAAAACCTTACAATACAGACAAATGGATTTCATGTTGTCATTGAAGACATAGGAAGGGCAAGAAAGGAAATAGATTCAGTTTGGTCATTGATATTGGATTACCTGTCCTGTAAGAGAGGGAGAAAAGTGGTGAGGACTGAGAAAAGGAAGTCTCAGGATGAGGAAGGTTTTCCTGGGAATGTACCTATCAAAAGTTTTAGACATGAGGTGGAACTCCTGGCTGAGCAGAGGGGATGTGCATGCAGATCAAACATTGCTGCACTCATGCATTGAATGTGGGTGGTGAGAGCTTGTCTGGGCCAAGCTGTGTCCAGGGAAATGGTAAACCTGTGCTCTCCCTGTACCAAAGGAATCCTCTTTGTGCTTTGTGTTCCACTAGGGGAAAGGAAAACAACCAAGAGCAAGAAACACAGGGAGGCTCAGGGCCCTGGATGAGGATTTCTTGGCTGGTTTCACTCTGGGCTTCACAGCATTGCTGCTCAGGCAATCACGTGTAGGCAGCTCAATCTTCACATGCTCAGCTGCTGGTTATCCATGTGGGATGGTTCCCAGTGGAGGAAAAACTCTGTGAGGAGGTGAGGGGGCCAAGCAAAACTGCTCTGCCAGATTTTTTAAAAAGCTTCCACGCATGTTGTGAACCTAGGATGAGTGTCAGAAATCTGGCTTTTGGTGGAACTGAAATAAAACTTGCTGTGAGACTACACTTGGCTCACCTGGGTAGGAACATTTAGGTAGGGAGGAGCTGCAGGGTGCAGTGCCTGTTGCCCAGGCAGCAGCCAGGGGGGAGTCTGGGATATGGGAAGGAGCTTTGTAGGGTGGGTGGAAGCATCTGGGAGGGGTGGAGAATGCAATCTGTGAAAAGCAAAGCTTCCTTGTCCCAGGAACACTGGAACTGAGGAACTTTGCATTTCCAAGGTGGTGAGCCTTCTCCAGACCCTGTGAAATATGAGCCTGGATGTGTCATGTTAAACCTCTTCGTGGGGAAAAGGCACCTGTGGGGGAGGAGGAGAGGGAGGCAGAATGCAGAAAGCAGAGGCCAGAGGCCCCTGTTTGGGTGCAAGCACCAATCTGCTGTCTGCATGAGCCTGCCTGAGTTGCATATGCTGTCCTTTTCTGTGTGCCCAGAAAATTGTGATAAATAGAAGTCCAGGCAGGGAAGAGCATTTATTTTTATTTGCCTATTTTTGTCATTCACTTGGCATCTCTAGATGAATGGTGGAAGCAGGAGGGAGAGGCTGTTCTCCTTGTGCATGCAGCCCTGGGTGCAGGGCAGATTCTCAAAGACAGCTGGATTCCTGCTGACCCCTTGCAACCTACCTTCACCTTGGAGATACCATCCACTGTAATGGTCTGTGCCAGCAGTCCCGTGGAGTCCTTCAGTCAGAGCTGTGGATAGGCAGTTTCCATCCTCTCCAGCTGGGACAGCTCAGGTGCTGGTCTCCGTCCTCTCCTGTGTCCCATCAGGTGTCAGAGTAGGGTGGAAGGAGCTCCTCCTGACACTTTACCTCCCAGCAGTCAGACAGACCACATAACCCAAAGGGTGTTCATGGATTCATCATACCCCAGCACTGCCAGGAGCTGCCATTCCACAGGACACCACCTTCAGTCCCATCTTCCTCTTGTCTAGAGACAAATTAATTTCAGCCTTCCCTTTTCATGAGAAACCATTTCGAAATGTGCAGACTGCTCACTCGTGGGTTTTTTTTCCTTCCTATTTTCTCTTCCCAGAATGTCAGTGTCAGTAGCCCCACAATCAACATGGGCCCAGAGGTGCTTGTAAAGCATTATCCCCTCTCTGTCAGAGCCAGGTGAGGAGGCTGAAGTAAAGCCCCAAACCACCAGGTGTATATGGCTCTGTGCTTAGCAAAGAGGGCAAGAGGAAAATGCTTGATATCTGATGTCTTGTTGGTCCACTGAAATTTAAAACTGGCAGCAAAGACATCAAAGCAGGTGTGAGGATGCTTCTGCAAGATTTGCCAAGGACTCCTGTGCTCCTGTCTGATGCTGGGAGCCAGGGCAGGGAGAGGCTGCAAGCACAGCCTGTTTAATATTCTCTCTGTCCCTCTGATCTCCCCCCTGCCCTGCAGAAGCAACATGTCCCCTGTTTCTGCAGAGCTTGTCCTGAGCAATAGCAGCATCTGTCAGGGGTTATGGTGGCATTAGCCTCATGGAGCTGGGAGTTAGCAGTGCTTGGCAGAGTGACAGTTCTGCTGTACCTTACATAAATCTGTATCTTGCATAAATCTGTCTCTTCCTCCTCTGCCAAGGTGTGTGGTCACAATTTGTTGGATTCTTCCTGCTGTCCACCAGGCTTTTGAGTTTCTTAGAAGATATTTGCTTGAGACCCTTTTCCTTCATCTTTCTTCACACCTCCCCACTCCATACACTTTCACTTGTATCTTTCCCACAAAGACCTACAATGGATGTATCTTAAACAGGTGTTTATTTTCAAATAAATCCCCATCACCTGCCCCTTACAGGAGGTGCAGAAATCTCTCTGTATTCCTATGGGATTGAATTCCTTGAGCCTCCCTGTGGCTTTGGTAGCAAACTCCAGCAGCTTCCTCCTGCTGACTCCTGCTCTGGGCTGAACCTGATCCTGGGTAGCTACAAGGTACCCACACTGCTCATCAGTACTTCATGGTGTTCTGTTGCCTCTCATCCAATTTTATGAACCTTCTAGACCCTTCTGAGGCCAGAAAGTAATAACTACCTCAGTTCTTTGCTGACTTTCAGTGTCTAAGGAAATTCTTCAGGAAAACAAGAAAACCCTTATTAAACATATCATTATATCCCCAACCACAACGTGTTTTCAAACAAAGCAAACCTGAAAAGAAAATGCTGACCCCTTGAAAGCATCTCTGGTCATGTGAGGCTTGGCCTGGGCCACTCTCTTGTCCCCAGCTCTGCTCAGGGACCCGATGGGAGGGTCCATGGCCAGTGATCTCCTGTGCCACTTTGTCACACCCACCTGCCACCAATTGCTTCAGTGTGTTAAGGCTGTAATAGAGACCTGCTCTGAGCATTGTGGCAGAGACCAGTATAACATCTCTGCTGGTCTGCAGGACCAAATACTTGGTGTGTATTACCCAATGAAATACAGCAGCTCCAAAGGAGCAGGTGATCTGTCAAGTGAACTCACTGCACCTCTCAGCGAGTCTGCACTGAGATAGACGCCCTCAGATGCTGAGGTGGAGGTACTTCAGTGTAAGGGTACTTATTGCTGTTATTATTTATTATTGTTTGGTGTCTTGTGCTGGTGAGCATTTAGTGAAGGTGGCACACTCTTCTACCACAGGTTATCCAGGGGGAAAACAAATAATCCCACATTGTGCTGTAGCACACACCCTGAGCTCTTAAAATGGAAGTTTCTCTTTTGTCTCCAAGCCCTTTTTCTTTTGTAGGCAGACATAAGAGCTGTAATACCAAGTGAATGGTATGTACTAAGTCTATACAATGGCTCTTTAAAAAAAATAATTACATATGGTACAAGAGGGAGAGGAAACCACTCCATTCCTGTAAATGGCCACTTAAGATGTGGAGAATAAATAACTGCAGTAAATAATCTGGCATAGTTGAGCTTTAGCATTTGGGAGTAAATCAGAGCTCTTTCCCCATTGTCTGCAGAGAAGCCTCGGAAATGGAGTTGGACGGAAAGATTCCCCTCAGAGTTGTGGCAAGGTGCTGAAAGCCCGTGGGAGCGCGCAGGACTCTCCGGCTCTCCCGTGTGTCTCCTCACCCTTTCCCTGCACCTCCCTTCCCTTCCCAGGCATGTGCAAGGCAAGAGACTCCCTTAAGTCTCGCTCTCCTCTCGTGAACAGGTGCCAGAAGAAGGCTGGGGAATGAAGGCTGGGGGATAAAGGCTGTGCTGGCGGAATTAGCCCGTCCCAGGCCCCTCGGTGGCCGCGCAGCCCCCGGCGCTCCCGCCGCCCATCCCCGCCTGCCTCCCTCAGCCGGAGCGGCCGCTCCCCTGCGCCGTGCGGGCTGTGCTGCCGCTATTTAAACGCAGCTCCAATCTCCGGCTGAGCGAGGGCTGTGTCGCTTTAAGGCACATGTGATACTCTCCCGAGCAGGGATGTGTTGAAATAGACTCGGGCAGGTCCAGCGCCCGGGAGCCGCCGCCTTGTGCCGCCCGTGCGGAGCCGCGGCCGCGCTGCCCGCGCACGCCAGCTGCTCCTCGGCCTCGCGTGTGCTGCGAGCTGCACCTCACCGCCAGATCCCTCCAAAGGGCTGCTCCGGCACGAGGGGATGATTTAAAGGTGAAATTTAAAGGCTAGGAAATGATTTAAAGGTGAAAATGAGAAGGTCTCCACCCCTCAAACCTTGGCCACTTTTCTGACGGCAGTCTGAGAGCTCAGATGTCTTCTTTACTCTGGAAACAGGATTTGTAACGAAAAAGGGATTTTTTTTTCTTTTTTTTTTCTACTTTTAATCCTGATAAAGAAGATTATTGGGAAGCTATAAAAGAAATCCCTTATTGTGGTACAGATGGATTTAAAAAAGTATTAGATCTTTCCGATGAACACTACTAGAGTGCTCTGCTCTTGGTTGGATTACTCAGGTAAGGAGCTTCCTCAGGATTTAAGATTCAGAAAGCAGATCTGCAACTCACCAGATAATAAGTGGAAAATATTCACTGTTTTCTTCTTTCTGTGTTTCTGTATTAATGATAAGATGATATCTGGGTGAAATTGTGTGTGTGACAGTTTGCTGGCGAACGAGTGCATGAAGAAATGTTTGTAAGAAATGCTGGGTTTGAGCAAAGGTAGTTTGAAATAGCGAATGCTTGAGAGAGGGTTTTTATATTTTAAAAACCCACAAAAACTAATAATAATACCTGAGTGGGTGAAGTAAGTCTGCTGTCCATGTGTGAAGAACATGATTCCGGGGGAAAGACACAGGAGCATTTAGCAGGTTGTGGAAGTTTCGCTCTTTGACTGGGATTTTTAAAGTTCAGTTTAAATAACCTGAATACCTGAAATTCCCCTGCGTCAGACTCACCTTTCCCTTTGCCTTGTGGTATAAAAAGCACGGGAGCACCAATTATGCTAAGAAGGTGTTAATTCCTGAAGAACACGGGAAGCCTCCCGGGAGCTCCCTGATCTGAGGAGATTGAATCTATTTTGTAAGATAAATGGGTCTAAAAAAGAGAGGAGAAAAAGTGCATTGTATACTGCAAAGCAAACAGTTGGAAATGAAATTAATTACACACCAAGCAGTGCATCAAGCACTCAGTACAGAGAAAGGAAGAGCCTCATGCTGATCAAAATAATGTTTTGGTATTCTCTATTAATTATACTTGTCAGTTTATGTGGTTCATTTCAACTAATTAGACTTAAAAAGCTTCCCAAAGACTCTGCTGCTTTAAAATCAGGACGAAGAAATGGATTTATGTGCATATATTTTATTACCACAGCATTTCACTATTTTAATATTGTTCATCTTCTTACTGTAGAAATCCCCTGATATTGCATGCAGATTTTTTTTTTTTTGTAAAGACATGATTTTTTTCCATGTGAGAGATTGAATCTTTCAAAGTCTTTCTTGCTCTGAAAATGATGTTCAGCTGATTGGATTATTAGATAGAGAGCAGCATCCCGTCATTGGCTGAGTGAGGAGAGTGCCTGAAGTTTGATTAATTTGCCCATCTGAAATGCAGCAGAAGGTGCTGTTAAGGGAACTGGACGATGTGTAGCGTAGCTGAGCCTTGCAAACCTCCAGATCCTTGCAGGCACCGAGAAAGAGCTGCTGAAGTTAACAAGTCAGAGGGAAATTCAGCCACTTAGTACAGCCATGAGCGCAAGTATGGAAAAAGAGTTGTCTGCACTGGATGGCCAGGTGCACCAGCACCAGCAGACAAAGAAATTGCCTTTTCCCTTTGCAAAGGGAATATTTCTTAAATTTTGACACAATCTGCTTTGTGGAAACATCACATCTTCTGTAGAGCACATCTGACATTCAGTCTGGCCATACTCCAGTCCTTGTGCATGCACAGGTCGAACAAAAGGAAGCTGATTTCATCTGGGGATTAGAACATAATTCTGAGAAACAATTACTTTGTTTGGTAGACAGAAGCATCGTTAATAATTAATGCTTGCAAAAGCAAAAAACCAAACAATGTACTGTTATCTTCTGGGTCAGTAATAGCTTTTTTAGTTTTGAGGATGGAGTATTTTGGCATTATGTCTTGGGCATACTTTCTGCAATGTATTTAAAGCAGCTTTGATACTGTCTGGACATCATGTTGGTTTTTTCCAGCTGGTGTTGTGACTTTTTACAATTTGGTTAATATTTTTAACTTCCCTGTAAATTGAGCTATGGATCTGTGTGAGAATATTTCCCAGCTTCTATTTATATTGTGGTTTTTTTTAGTCCTCAGATTATTACAGTTTGATTTTTACCACTGAATTATTAAAGTTATCCAGGCTCCTGTGTTGATGTCTCTTTACCTCAGCTGTCCTTTCTGGGCATGACCTTTGTTGTACAACAATTGCATCCTGCAGGGGCGAATAATAATCAAAAGCCATTTAGCAAAAGGAGTGAAAAAGAAAAATATTAAAACCACTGTTGTAATGGAAGCTGACTATTGTGTGTGCTGTAAGGCATTGGATAACAATGTGTGTCTAATATTTTGTTTAGAGAATGGCAGTGGTCTCTGCAATGTCCTGGGTCCTGTATTTGTGGATAAGTGCCTGTGCAATGCTGCTCTGTCAGGGGTCCCTCCATCACACTTTCCAGCAGCATCACCTGCACAGACCAGGTAGGACTGAGCTCAGCTCTGGGCTTGCAGGCTCTCTGCCCGTGCTCCTGTCTGTCTTGATAAATGATTGACTAATCAAAATTCTCTTTATCATTTAAGTTTTATGAGTTGTTTGCCTTTGTATTGCACAGCATCTGTTTTTTGGCGAGTCTAATGTGTGTTGTGCTTTGCCAATCCAGTGTGGGAATAGTCATGTTTAATGTCATTTTCTAACAATTGCCCAACATAAAAATCCCGTTGCGGGTGACGGTTCAGTTTCTGTGTCCTTGTTTCTCTCTCTCCTTCTTCCCATTTGGTGAAGTTCTGGAATTTCTGTAGAACTTGGACACTGTGAGAGCACAGGTTTGTGGAACTTTGTACTTACCTGACCCAAACTGGGTTCAGGTTTGTTCTTTAAACCACCAAATCTCCCTCAGTCACCCACGTGTGCTGCAGGTTTGGAGTTTGCTTTGGGTTAAGGGAGGCACACTCATTCTGAGGCTCTCAAGTTTACCTCTGAAATTGATGGGGCTGCAAAAGTGTGGCCTGGAGGAGAATTTGGGACTGTGAAGAGCACAGTGCCTGTAAATGCAGAATCAATCCCACAGGTTAGCAGTGGAGAACACAGCTCACTTGGACTGCTGGTCTGCAGGGACAGCACAGCAGTGGTTTTATTGTGTTTTTATTAATAGAAATGGATCACATAACTCCTTCAGCTGCTAATTGCACACTGAAAAATGTACTATGCTAAAAATTGAGGTGGTGGCATTTTCTAGCACAGTGTTTTCATCTGATTAAAATTAGATGGACCAAGAATGTCACTTAACCAAATTTGAATCTAAAAAAGATGGGAGGGGCTTTAAGAGTTGTAGAAATGAAAGCTGGAAAGTGTTAACTCAAGTGATGAGTCATTTTACTATGTGGCAATTAATATTTTAATGTTTTTTTAATCTAATGACGTCCCTTCAAAGACAGATGGTCTTGAACACAGGTCTTTAGCAACTTTAAAACTCAAAGTTTTCCCAGGTATGTTTCTTGCCTAGAAATCACAGGTATTGGCATTGTCTTGGTTTGTTCTAATAAAACATAAATGTTATAGAGGAATAGACCAAACTCCTTGCTAGGCTAGGTCTCAGTGCCCATGTTAGAGCATCAGATTAACCAAGGGTGTCACCTTTACCCCCTGGCACTGGAAATCTGGGAGTGCTTGAAGTTTCAGGGGGGAGGGACTTACTTGGGACTTGCAGAGATTTATTACAGTGCAATTAGGTTGAGTATGTCCCTAGTGAAGGAAAGGGGAAAAAAGAGCCCAGCTGCACAGGTATGTAAAAGGAAAACGTAATATCGTTTTATGGAATCAGTTGAAACAAGTGACATTATGAGAAAAAATGAGAGCTGGGCAGATCCAGAGCTCTGCAACATTTGCCTAAGCTTGAAAAATCACCTTTTTTATGAAGCAAGAACAGCAAGACACTGAATGCATACCAAATGTTGGGGAAATGTGAAAAATGACAAAATCTTTCACTCAGGGATGTGCTACAGATAGAGTGAAGGTTTTACAGCTGCCTCATCACCTACTTAGAAGCAGCCAAGCTTTGCCTCCTGCGAGCCTGGCTCAGGCAGCTTCTCTGCACCCTACATGAATAAGATTGATGGTGTTCTGATCCCAGGCAGCCAATTTCAGTCTCTCAAGAAATAATCCACTACATTGACAGATGAGTGGAATTTGACATGATGTTCACCTCAAATTCAGATTGTGCTGCACCTGGGAAGTACCAGCCAGTGAGTGTCCTTTAGGGAAACTCTTAGATATTTTGGACAATTTCTGCTGTCACAACAGAAAATCAAGACAGTGTTTTTTTTATAAGGCCGTGAATTTACAGTCTGCCAACTGAATGTGAAAGGTTGTACATAAAAAGGATGGAAATATGTTAACTAGCAAACTGAGTGATTTTAATGTATTCAACTGCAGTCCCTGAGCACACCCTATTTTTCATATTTATATTATTAGGAATGCGTAGTTTACTTTTAGTTAGAAACTGTGTAAGTAAGATTAAAATGTTCAGCCAAATAAAAGTGAATAAAAAATGGATGCAGATGAGCCAAAGCATAATTTCAGTAATTTAATACTTGGTATATGTAATTTCAACTTATTGAGTCATGGCAGATAGAGCTGTAATCAATAGCATGCTCAGCATACCTTTTCCTTCAGTTTGTGATCATGCATAGATAATGAGCTGCTCTAAAATAAGAGAGTTTGACCAGTTCATCTCCATCATGGGGCCACTTTGGTACAAGATAATTAAAAAGGGAGGTTCCACCGCATCTTGTGCTTCTCATTCTTGATGAATAGAAGAGTCTCACTGAGCACAGGAAGGTGCAGGTAAAAGATAAAATCCTCCTGGAGTGTATTTAGCATAATAAACTTGAACTGAACACAGTGGATTAGCACAGTGAATATATCCATCTGGACCACAGCAGTTAATCCAGTTTTGAAACCCTGGAAATCAAGAGCAATATATTAAAAGGTTAGTTTATCATCAGAGATTTCTGAGCTTGATAATTTTTTTTTTTCTACCAGAAACTTTCTTAAGCAAGTATCTGAATGGGCTGAATAGATTTTAACACACTGTGCAATCACAGAAGCTTAAAGCCTCTTTCCAGTACAGTATAATTTTTTATTTTTATAATTCAGTACTTCTTTATTCAGTTAGATGACTTAGCAGAAGATATGAACCTGAAAACAAATGTGATAAACTGCTCTACATGACAGTATTTGTGACTGACTGTAGCTTTATTTTCTGTGAAATGTTGACAGGTGGGCCCAGGTAGTAAGGCCATAGTAAATACTGCTTGCTTGTAAGATGAATGATGCTATATTATTTGTGTCTGTTCATTAGTTCTTTCTTGTCTCATTAACACAGTGAGAAGTTTGAGTGCTGCTCTTTAGAGCCTTTAAATATTGGTGCCTGTTCCTTTTGACTTGGGTAGGTGAGGAAGAGGAGACATGGGAGTAAACCTGCAGAACCCCACTGCAGTGTAATTCCCCTTGGGCAATATTCGTGGCTTTCTGCAGGGTTTTTTATGACTGTATTTCATTTTTGTGAAAATCATGTTAGGCAAAGGATGTGTGAAAGCATTCACAGGAAATAACTTTATGTGGAAACAAATCTCCATCTTCTTTGCAAGCTTGTCATTTCTGTGTGATTTAAGAAGAAATAGTGGTAATGAAAAGAATTCCATGCTGGTTGTTTTGGTCTCTAAGATACACACAGTTGTAGGGCTGTGGAATTGGCATGAGGGGTTAGAGTGGACGTGTTGATTTGCAGTTATCTGAATGCCTGTGATAGTTCATTGATCATCTGATTGACAGCATTGATCCTCCCAGCAGCAGGAAGTAGATGCTGGGATTTGGTGACACAAGATATTAGCAAAGGATTCAAGTTGAAAAAAAAATTAAAAAGCAGCCATCACCCTTTCAATCATGCAATTCTTTGCAAAATTCTGACTTTGTTCCATAAAAAGGTGTTGGATCTTTCAGCTTATCATAGGTGACACCACTGGCCATGTGTTAACTTGGAAGGACATAGGATTCACCTGTAAGTTTGTGCAAATGAATTAGGTACACATCAAGTTAGTCTTGTATGCAGTGTAAAGATGGAAGGCAGACACAAGCAGAAAAAAGTACCCACTGTAGCACTGCTGACATTTGCAAATATGCTAATTAAAAATAGGCCTGTTCAGAGGAAGAAATCATGGACTGAATCAAGGCTGGAATTTTATGATGCTAAACATGAAGTACCTTTTATTGTGACAGTAGTTAATGATGTGCCTATTAAAAAATCTTCTCAAGAAGTGATTCTCTGTACTACATATTACGAGATGGAAAAATCAGTCTCAAAGCAATTCTGCACAACTAACAAGGAACATCAACCTAAGGATGCTGTGAGCATGTTTCTCAGTAGACAGCATTTTGCAGAAACTGTAGTCTGTGGCTGTGAGCAAAAAATGTCTTAGTTCTGATCTTGGCCTTCCCACTGATTTTTTTTATAGCCCTAGGGTAAACTGCATATTTTCACATTTCAAAAGGTCTGCTATTTTCATATGCCCCGTATATGTGGCTATTCAGTTCAAAACAGGCAGGGTTTTGAATCTAGTTCCTCAGGAAAGTATAAATACAATGTGTCTGTACTTTGTGGAACAATTGAGATTTGGAAGGTGAGTTCAGCAGGATTTTTGCTCTTGCTGTTGACAGAAGCAAGTGTGGCACTAGGCAGTTAATGTATAAAAGTTTCTGTGATTAGCAGGAATTGTGTTTCATTAATCACATGGTGTGAATGCAAACTGTTGCCTTCAGTATACAACGTTCAAATTGCCAGGCAGGAACACAGCCAGCCATGGCCATGAAAGGTGACAGCTATTGTTTCTTGCTGTGTTAATTAAAATGAGCACGTTTTTAAGTTCTAACTCAGTTTTCATTTACACCAGCAAATGCACAGGAAGCAGCACAGTGCCCTGGTTTGTTCACAGTCAGAAAATCCTGCTCACAAGGAGCTGTTCCAGCCCCTCACTGGAAAGATCTCTCCTTGTGATACCTTTGTTATACATACCTGGCCTTGACAGGCTGCTCTTGAAAATGTGAAATTACCAACTGCTAAGTGAAGAAATCCAGGTTGTAAGTACCTACTGTGTTCCTGGTCACATACAAAATACATTTGGATGTACGTGGACACGTACTTTGTTTAGGAAGAGAACTGATGTGACAAAATCAACACTTAAGCATGAGGTAGGGTTTCTAGCAGCATGATGGCAATGAACTGCCTGCTGTGCTTGTGTGATGGGCTTGTTTACAGCAGCAGACTTGATCAGAAGTATTGCACCCTTTGATTTTGGTTTTTTTGATTTTTTTCCTGAAAATCAAACCTCTGAAACAAAACTAGCATGGCTCCGGGGTGTGCTTGGGTTAGCCATGGGAGTTTTTGGGGTCTGTTGCCTGGGACACAGGGGAAGCAAAGGGGAAG